TATACAAACATTGACGGCGTGAATCAGATTAAATTATAACAAATTAACAACAGATTAACGTTAAAAATATGTTAAATTCAACCAAAACATGGGTCTAATGGGTGTCCATTTACAAATTTAAAAATGGAGCACGAACATTCAAAGTAGTATGGGCTAGTAAATATCGGCCCATAAGCCCATTAACCCGGTTTTTAGGGCGAGTGACCCGAGTTTTGAATTTGCTCAGGTGTTGGATCTACAATTTCGAAATTTAGGAACGGGACTCGAATTCTAGAGCATCGTTCGATTCCTGAGTTGAAACATGAGCGGTAATCGACTGGAATTCGAAAACCCAATAGAGGATTCGATTTCGAGGCTCAGATTCTCCCCCGAATCGAACAATCTACTTGTTGCTTCTTGGGATTCTGTGAGTTTCTTCTCTTCTCTTCCTTTCTCAGATCTCGAATCGATACCGTATTTGTTCTTAGATTCGTACTGATTGTTGTTTATTGATATGATTTCCTTTTTTGTTCGGTTGGTTATGTGCAGTATCTGAGATTGTATAATGTTGAGAGGTCTTCGCTAATTGTGGAATTGTACTCTCCGGCTGCTCTTCTTGATTGCTGTTTCGAGAATGAATCAACTTCATATACCTCTGGTTCCGATGGTTTCATACGAAGGTTTTGCAATTTTTTCTTCTGAATATATACTCTTAAACACAGATAAATCCATAACTAATAACCCAATATGCTTGTAAGGAACTCATGTGTTTCCATTACTTTTTTTTCGAAATGGAGGTGAAATGGTTCGAAAAATTGCGTGTTTAGGTACGATTTAAAAGCCGGAACAGTTTATACAATTGGCAGACATGACGACATTGCAACATCCGTTGTGTATTCTTATGAAAAAGGTCAGCTTTGTTAACCCATCCCAAGAAATTTATCAACTTTCAAGGTGACATGATACATTAAGGATCTTTTGTCATTTGTATAAATACATGTGCATTTTCTTTAGTTTCAGAGGATTTTTTCTTAGGTTTTGAGTATTGAATCAAAGACTCAAAACTTTATGTAAATTTGTCTTGTACTATACTGTTGACAATTTGATTCAAAATCCATGACGAAATACGAGAACCACTCAGCCATTAAATTTCAAGTGGTGTGATGCGGCTCAGGTGAAGTTATCTCTACTGGTTTGGATGAGAAGATCAAATTCTGGGATCCAAGACAAGGAGAAAGTCTTCTGTTTTCGATTGATGGTGGTACAGCAGTGCGATGCATCACTGTATCTGGAAACAACTTAGTAGTTTGCGTTGAAGCATCAATGCATATATATGATTTGCGCAATTTAGACCAACCTTTTCAGTCATATGCATCACAAGTTGAGGTGCCAATCAGATGTGTCACCTCTGTGCCCCATTCCAAAGGTAAAACATATAATTTCAAGAATCTGTGATTTTTCGGGTAATGTGGCGATATCTCTTGTGAAGAAAGATTGATATTTACATAGACCAGGGTCCAGGGTTGAGGTTGGTTTGATTTCTGAAGTTAGTTGCTGTTGAGCAGGATATGCAGTTGGCTCAGTAGACGGACAAGTAGCCTTGGATTTCCCCGATACATCATGCTCTAGTGAGATTAAGTAAGCATGATTTCTCACTATATGAAAGAACTCATTGGTTTGGTTCAGTCTTTTTTTTTATCTCGACTTGGCTAGCTCTCTTAATGTTTGTATGTCTCATTGATTCATGGCAGATACACTTTCCGATGTCATCCCAAGTCTAGGAATGGAAGACTTAACGGTGCATGCATAAACGCAATCGAATTCAGTCCATGGTACATTTGTTTCCCTCATTCATAATCTAGTAATGGTTATACATGATTCATGATCATCTGGTTCACTCTTTCTTCTTGCACAGTGGGTCAGGGACTTTTGTGACTGGTGACAACGAAGGCCACGTTATCTCATGGAATGCGAAAAGCAGAAGACGACTCTTTGAGGTTTCAAAAAATAAAACATGACTTGCTTATATATAGATTTTCTTGTCTCTTTTCCTCTATAAATCTTTTGTCTTTCTTTACAAAAAGTTGCCAAGGTACTCAAACAGCATCGCGTCTTTGGCGTTTAACCACACTGGAGAGCTCTTGGCAGTTGCATCAAGCCACACTTACCAAGAAGCTAAAGAGAAGTGAGCCCACTCTTCTCCTCGCTGCTCTTTACTTCCTTTTTCTAAAGCATCACACAGTACGTCCAATGTATCTGATATCTCACTCATCTTTTGCAGGGAAGAACCTCCTCAAGTGTTCATACACAGGTTTTGAAGGATTGCTAGCTTCTTGAATCTAAGGTTAATCAAATTATGAATCCTATACTAGGTATTCTGTTTGACTGTGTATTTGTATTTCTTGGTAGTACGTTTAGCTTGGCAAGTAGATTTTGTCGTATTTAACTTGTAATGCATTTAACAAACAAAAAAATATGCGAATTGTTGGAGTTTATTTACATAAAAACACTTTGTTATTTATGTAAATATTGTTAAAGTTTATTTACATAAACACACCTATACTTACGAGTTACGAGAACTCCAAAAGCACTCCTTTGATATACATCGGTGCCAAAGGTGTCGATTAGATAAGACACATGTATGATCGGTTGTGAAAAGCACCGATTGAATCACACATCGCTTCCGAGTGAATCAAGCATCGCTTGACTCAATATAAATAGATGTCACGATGTAATTGGAGAGACACAGAATCAAGCGA